AGTGATTTACAGGCCCCCCAAGTCTTGAGAAGAAGCAGCTCAGCCCACATGGCAGGAAATGAGTAGGGCAGCAAAATATAACAACCTGTGCATTATGGGGGATTTCAGCTTCAGAAATATTGATTGGGACAACATTGTAGGTGACTATGAATCTGAAGACTTCCTAGACGCTGTATAGGACAATTTTGTTAAACAACTAATTACAGAACCTACTAGAGGTGACAATATATTAGACCTACTATTAACAAATAAAGAAAATATTATCAGAGATGTCACAGTAGGGGAAGAACTAGGAAACAGTGATCACAGAGAAATCAGGTTCACCCAAAATTGGGAAACGAAAAACAATGACAATATGGTCAGAATCCCAAACTTCCGATTGGTGGATTATCAGGGGTTAAGAAGGTACCTAGGTGAGGTCACCTGAGAACAGTCAGGTCAGTCCCCGGGAGGAACGGGTGAGGTCACATATGACACAACAATTGGTCATGACTATAATATATTCACTAGTATACTACGTAAAGCACAAGAACAAAATATACCATACAGAAAAATTAGGTTAAATAAGAATGAGCCAAGGTGGATGACCAGAAAACTTAAACATGAAATAGAAATAAAGAAAGGAATTTATAAGAAATTAAAAGAAGGGGAGGAGCATCTCAGAAATAGTTATAATGAACTATCTAGGAATGTTAAGAAAAATGTAAGGAAAGCAAAGAGGGACTACGAAATCAGGATAGCAAGAGAATCCAAGGCGAATCCCAAGAGATTTTTCCAGGTATATAGAACAAAGGTCAAGGACAAAGTTGGGCCTTTAAAGTCAAGGGGGGAGGAAGTGATCGATGACAGTGAAGAAATAAGCAAAGCATTGAACAGCTACTTTTTATCAGCTTTCACAGAAGAAATTCACGAGGAAATTCCAGAGGTGGAACTGATATTTAGGAGAAAGGAAGAAGAGAAATTAAAGAATATCACTATCAGAAAAGTGGATGTTCTTAAGAGGATAAATAAATTAAAGAAGACAAAATCCCCAGGGCAGGATGAAATTTTCCCTCGAGCCTTGAAAGAGTGTAGGGAACAGATTAGCGGACCCCTTGTAAATATATTTACTAAATCATTAGACACGGGAGTTGTGCCAGACTTGTGGAAACAGGCAAATGTAGTACCCATATTCAAAAAGGGAGACAGAGCATCAGCGTCAAATTACCGGCCGATCAGTTTGACGTCAGTACTGGGGAAATTTCTTGAATCAATTATAGCAAATAGCATCTGATCGCATTCACAGAAAAGCAAATTAATATACGACTCTCAACATGGGTTTACAAAGGGAAAATCTTGTTTAACAAATCTGCTGACGTTTTTTAGGAAAGTCTTCGAGGTAGTAGATAATGACGAAAATTACGATGTTATTTACTTAGACTTCAGCAAAGCATTTGACAGAGTACCGCATCAGAGGCTTCTGAGAGAAGTTAAGGCTCATGGTATCGAGGGGAAAGTTTTATATTGGATAAAATCATGGCTCACCGATAGAACGCAGAGAGTCAGCGTAGATGATGTTAAATCTGAGTGGGGCTGTGTAACCAGTGGGGTTCCCCAGGGGTCAGTACTAGGCCCACTCTTGTTCATAATCTACATAAGCGATCTAGATACTGAGATCAGCAGTGACATAAGCAAGTTTGCGGATGACACCAAAATAGGGCGGCAGATTAATTCAGGGCAGGATGCAAATGCACTACAGGAGGATTTAAATATACTGCTGGAGTGGTCAGAAAAATGACAAATGAAATTCAACACCAGCAAGTGCAGCGGACTTAATATTGGAAGAACAAATACTGTCAATGTATACAGCCTTAACAACATCAACCTAGAAAAGTCGACTTGTGAAAGAGACTTAGGGGTACTTGTAAGCCCGGACCTACGGCCTAGAAAACAGTGCGTTAATGTTCGAAATAAGGCAAACAGAGTATTAGGTTTTATATCTAGAAGTGAAAGTAATAAGAGTGCAGAGGTCTTATCTGATATACTATAGTGCTAGGCGTGTGTGTGTGTGTGTGTGTGTCTGCTCTGGGCAGCCGAAACTGCACAATCGTTTTTCATCAAACTTGGTGGAAAAATCGCAAAAAATTCGTACAGTGGAACAAACCTGCTCCCATATCGATGGTTTCTTTAGGAAGCCATTACATAACCATTTTATTTACGCTGAAAAACGATGCAAGTCTGTGGACTTGGCGCACCCAGCCCACGATTGCAGTTATCGTACGGCTCCCTCCTCCTCCCCCCACTTTTTTTCTTAGCCTGCTTTTTTTTAATGTTGTTTGGATTATTAAAGGAAGGAAGATGGGCAAATAGAAGAATAAATAAAGAAGGGGAAACAGAAAATAGTTCGAGATAACAGGTGGGGGGGGGAGCTGAGTTTCATCATGCGTCTGGATGCGCAGTTACCAGACGACCTTACAGCTACAGTGTATACTTATTCCTGTGGGTGGAAAAGGAGAAGAGA